AGTGCGAGCTTTAGCTGCAATACAGTACTTACAAGTAGCACAGAAGCGTTGAACATCTTGGTTCATGTCAACCAATAAATCTTCGCACGTAGACGACCAACCAACCTATCCCAAGACACATGACCACCAGTGGGATGTGAGTGTTCATGTCGAAGGACTTGAAGATGAAGGTTGTCAGGTAGTAACGGAACAGTTACTTTACGATAACCAGGCAGTGAATAAGAACGGCATAATAAACCATCCTTAATACACAATTGCTCCCATATTTTGCGATAACCAGTAGGTAAATACCGTGCACATGGGAGTCCATCTCTTATCATGGTATAAATATCTCGCAGCTCATCATCACGTTGTTGATGATGAAGAAGTTTACCAAAAGAGATAATTGGCTCCAAATTATACGTAGCACCAATGGCAGCCAATTGTGGAGTTCCAAGTTGATGTTCTTCAACTATCCATCTAGGTGGAACTCTACAGGGCACATCTGCCAAGTTGGAAGATGTCCCAATCCACTCCACCTGGAGAGAAAGAGAATTACTCCGGAGAAGATCTCTGAGTAATGAAATACGACTCTTAGCCAACATTTCATGCAGACCATGAATTTGAGGGCGACGTTCTACATTTAACCAATTATAAACAATACGTGAATCAACTCGTAAAGTCAGCGAGTGAATACCCCATTTAATACATGCATTTACACCCAGAATAACAGCATTCAACTCACATAAGTTGATATGTTTGTTATCCGACTTAGATCTGAGCTTAGTGCCGTCCTCAATAACATGATCGTCATTGAGCAATACATAACCAGTAGCAATGGCCGAACCATCAGTGTAGAGGATAAACGGTTTACTGAAATCAACAAACCATCTACCATGTGCTGGATCTCCTTCACGCTGAATACGTGAAGCTACTTCACGAGCCCATGACATAACTTTGTCAGGTACATGTTGATTCATATCATTACCAGGAACAGACCTGCGGAGCCATGCTAAACACGGACGTAACCATGATAACACCGGATAATGGCTTATTAATTTGCCACTACAAGACAACAACTCACGTAACGTAAACGTGCTCTCCAACAACAAGTCAATATGTTGACCACTACGACGCTTCCAATATAAAACATCGTCAGAGCCAACTACCAACTGTAAACCAAGCACACGAGCTCGAGCCAAATCCTCAGGAGACTTAGTTGGAAGGTTATGCAACAAAAGATTTTGTTGTATACGATTCAACCGATTTGGATCTTCCGAAGAAAAAGGAACAAATATATCATCGAGATAAGCATCAGCAACTTCGCCAGCAAGGGCAGCCTTCATTATTAGCTGCAAGGTTTTTGGAGCTATGTTAAGTCCAAAACCCATAACACATAGGCAATAACACTTATTATGCCATATTACACATAGCCATGGCCACAACTCTGGAGATATCGCCACATTCATATAAGCACGTCGAACATCGAGTAATGTAGCTGCTTTATGACGTCTGAGACGTCACGTCTCCAACGTCTCAAATACTCTGAACAGACAGCCGAATCACAACCAGGTTGACTATTGATGTACGAATTGAGACCCCTAAAATCAAGTACAGGTCTCACTTTAGTACTCTTGTGACCTTGTAAAACAGCTTGTAAAGGTAAAATACACCGAGGAGTACCATCAAAGGGTATCAACCATTTATTATTAATCCATGTTTGAATCTCCTCCTCAAATTGTTGTTTTTGGGTAGCAGTCATCTTTCGCTTATACAAATAAGGTGACCGACATAACTTTCTCGATTCTTCAGCAGAAGGTTCACCATTTAACCATTTCCATTTCAGCACCCACCGACCATCGTTAAAATCTAGTATCACATCAGATGATTCAATATGCAACGGGTGATCAGGCCGTTGTTTAGGACCATGATCCGATACTCCACTCACATGACCAATAGTAGCATCATGCTTGTTGAACGGAAGGGTACAATCAGGGAATACTAGGCAACCACGCGAATAAGAGAGATCGACACACCTCGATTCCAGAAAGTCGCTACCCAATATAACATCAGAAAGACTGATATCAGAAACCACACAAAAACGGACATTTTTTACCACATATCCTTTATAAAATATAATAGAGCAAACAAGATAACCACGGATAGTTATATCATGCCCACCAACAACTTTAATATTAGAATTACCATCAGTACCATTAGTAACATACTTTGACAGACCATGACTTTGGATAAAGCTATCACTCACAGCAGTGATAGTACTTCCAGAGTCAACAAGCACTGATGTAGTTCAGGATGTACTCGAACCAACAGATAGAACAGCATCAACATGAGGAGTGCGGGTAGACAGAGAAACAGCTGCCATTATAGCTCCCGGGGCAAGGCCGACTTTCCTTGCTCCTTGACTCCGTTTCCCGACTTAGATGCGTGTTTCTTGTTTTTCCTCATTGGACAGAACCTCTTAATATGACCTCGTTGTTTGCATTCATGACAAACATAATTAGCATACCGAGAAGGATCGTGAGGTTGTCGTCCATAGGACAGCTGACGGCCTTGCTGTTTCTTAGAAAACCGTCGTTCCACAGCTGCAACTTCCTCCTTCACTATAGGTGCTGATGATGATGATGATGATGACTGAAAGGCAGGTATATCTCTCATATCACTATCAACATTGATCAACTTCTTAGCCTTCGCTAACGCAGTCTCAAAAGAAGTGACATCACTTAGGACACGAAGTTGACGACTATACTCTTCCTTCAAGCCATTCAGAAATTGACACATCATTAATGTATCCATCACCTTTGGGTCCACATCCGAGGGTAACACTTTCTTGATATGCCTCTTCAGTGAAGCTGCATAAGACTCGAGTGACTCACCCTGAAGAAGAGATCGCTTGACAAAAGCAGTATAAGAGCCAAAAGCAGACTTTGAAAACGTCTTTTGCAAAGCCTTCTGAATTACCACATAATCTTTCTTCTGCTCATCTGACAGATCATCATAAACTTGCCAAGCTCTGCCCTCCAAGAAGAGACCAAGATTCTGAGCCTTCGCATTCGCATCCCATTTTTGCATAAGACTGATAGTATCATACTTCTTCAAAAAGGTATAAAGATCTCCATCACCAGAAAAAGGTCGGAAGTTAGCCAATAATTGAGACACCAAGGGCATAACTCACGGGTTCTCCACCAATATGTAACCGTTAACACAATCCACTCGACTCGAAGGATGAATAACTTATTCTTACGTTACATATAGTATTACAGAATATGTGAATATCTAGCACAGCTTAACTCAAGGACAGTTGTACCACAAATGGGACAGTGACACAAGTCCTTACAAGGTGGCTAAGGTTCACGCGGGTGGCAGAACCGCACTCCCTTCGTCGATGAACAAACCATATCCGACTAGATAAACTCAAACTCACAGAAGCGGTATCGTGAAACACTTGCACCCTCTGGCTAGCAGGCTAGCTGAGAATACCAGCACACAAGTATTGTCCCCGGCCGTCGCGGTTTCACCATCGATAAAACCCTGCGGGATTGGCCTCAGCAGGATACATCTTGTCGAGGCGGGCCTTACGACCCAGGAATCCTGGCCGCCAGGATGACGTCTCGGAATAGCTTCTCGCCCGAACCATAGGTGTGCGGCGTGCTCGGAGCCAGAGCGAAGCGGACCAGATCACTCACTTCCTCTGGGACGTTCTGTCCACGGGCTCGAGCTTCGGCGAGGAAGACGACAGCTTTCTTAGTAAGAAGTTCTTACGCCGAGCAGACATAACAAGTTGTGCGTGAAAAACCCTGCAGAAAGTGAGTTCCCGGCGTCATAGAACAACACTGTTGTTCGGGTATAACACTGTATTTTGCATTGGTCCAATGCAGCTACAAAACCATAGTCTTTGTCGAGTTTGAAAGGGCCTGCAATATCACACGCTACAACATCCCACACACACGAAGCTGTGGTATCGGTGAAACCCATAGCCCCAGTATAGAAGTGGGTAGTCATTGCATTCTGACACCTTTCACAACCACGGCATACCACACGCACCAACCGCGTCAATCCTTCAATGAAGAAAAGCCGAGACACCTCCCATGACACATATCTAGCTGCTAGGCAATGCTGCATTGTGGTGTGCGGACTCATGGAAAACCTTGATAATTCGGAGAGCTTCCGCCCTTCCCTCGGCAGAATCACAAGGTATAACAATAACCTCGCGTGGAGTATGCGCAATTGATCCTGCCGGATACTTCAGAGCCACCAAAAGACCTTCTGAACTAATACGCTTCTCCTTAGCTGCATTAATAAATTTAGAGTCAGCCTTCTCACCAGTCTTAATATATTCCATAACCTTGCTCCATAGAGGAGACTTTCTTGTAGAGACCGTACAAAGTTTGTACGGTCTCTACTAAGAAAGTCTTGTACTACAAACTCTCGTGCCAATCCACCAACTGGTAGATCTGGTTGTGTAGATTTCTCGAACCCACCCCGCTGCACAGCATGAATAGACTCCGAAGTAGTAAAGAGAGCAGCATCACCGGTTAGGTCAGAGATTACCTACTGATCAAAGCCCCGCCCACTGGCCACTCTACTGAGGGGGTCTGCTCTATTATCTTCACTATTCACCTTATAGGTGAGTAATGAATCTCTAGTGGAAAAGTAGTGGAAAAGTTTTCCAACTTGAAAGTAACTCCCACACTGTGGGAGTTACTACGCTCTGTCAGAGCGAAGATCATCCATAATTTCTCGAATGGCTTGAACCAATCGACGAACAACAACTCTCTCTAAGCTCTTACTGAAGGAACCGGCACTATTCGACGAAGTCCATCTAACCACGGTTTGAGAATCAGAGCACACAGTTACCAATGGAATAAAAGGATGTTGCCGTTTACCAGATAAAGCTGCATGCACCGCGAGCACAGCTTTTGAGAGAGCAACCAGCTCTTTTCTATTTATATGGAAAATTCTCTGATTCTTAGATTTAAATACACCCGCTGCTGACTGAATCTTCCACAGATCGCCAGTACTGACAGAAACACCAACTATCACCCACGCCCAACCTGTAGCACTCGCGTCCACATAGACCTTGAGCTGGTCCGGATGCTTCACTGGGTGATGGCAACCTTGTTCTACATAATCTTCAACAACCGAAATGCAGGAACATAAGACCTTGTAGGGCGGGTTCTTGGGGTCGATGTCAAACGACTCATCCCAATCAAAGTCCTTACCAATATAACCACATAACATCTTGAGGATATCGCCGACCAACCGTTCTTTGCCATGAATCAGCAAAGGAACACAGCCAGTACTAACACACGCCGCAACAGGATACAACTCCCTGCGTGTCCAGGAAGTTTTATACTCACCTCTAGCATTCCTCACGATACCAAAGAAAACGTGAACAAACTGTGAACGGAGTTATGATAACTCCGCTGCCGACCTTGAGCAAAGCTCTGCTGCAAGTTGCGGCCCGTAACCAGGCCGGGGCTGATAGGCCGTTGCTGGCCGCAGACAGATGGATCATCAGTGCATACGGTATGCAGCATACCGAACCCGTGTGCGATCGGCTGTGCGACTGTGGTCTGCGCAGACCGCGCCATGTGCTCCTGGCCAATGGGCCAGATGCCATTCTCGTAAACTTAGAGGGAAAGAAGCGCCCGTCGCAAGGTTGCGTAGCGTCAAGCAGCCTGTAGGCAAGCGGGGGTTGCAAGCGGGGGTTCCCAGCTTGAGAGAAGGCGTTGCATGACTTGGGAACGACTCTAGCACGCAGACGAGACTTGCGCAGCCTGATTCCCGGCGCCAGTCTTCCCGATCTCCGGGATGAACTGGATTAAAACGGCAAAAGGTGGTCATTAATTTGAACTATGATAAGGAGGAGCAAGCAGGAAGGGAGGGTCCGAACTCGTGTCAGCAAGTAAGGTTCAAACAGGCGGGCCCGGCTCACTTGAGGCGGCGAACGGCTGCTACAAACCTCACGACACGATTTAGCTGGCCCACGCGGCCTTTGCAAGGGAACCTCCGCTGAATTGAACGAAATGACAGCACTATCTATGCGGCACTCTGACCTGCAAGCTCTTCTCAATGCGTGCGTACGTGGTGCAATCTTGCACGCGGGCGCTGTGTATCGGCTGTCCCTTTGGCAGCGGAGGGACGTGTGTCTCGTCTCCGGAATTCAACTTGGGATAAAGAATTATCCTTGATGAAATCATCAACTAGGTCCAAACTGAGCTAAGATTCCATAGTTGTGCAATCTGCACAACTACATCCTCCCTCCTTGAGAGACGGCAGCATATAGTGAAGACAAAATATTTGAATAACACAGGCAGAACGACCCGGCGTCTTTTACGTCCTTTTACAGGATAAAAAATTAGGAACGTACAAGAGATAACGAATCGTTATTAACGATGGTAGCTATTTTGAATTAACTTGCCACTACTAGTGAAAGATTCAATTTGTCTAGCACCCTCTGACTCCACGACATTATCGGCACGAAGCCGTTTCCAATGAGTACGAGGAACAGCTTTGAATGACAATCGATCCATCCACTCACAGAGCTGAATACAAATATCAGCACAAGAACAATGATCATCAGTACTAGTCTCATTGGTAGTAATACGATACCATTCACTTCGATATAGAGTATGAGTGATAGGATCAATCGAAACCGCGAATATAGGTTTATCCGGTAAAGATAATTGTATCGTGTCAGCATCGATAGAATCTTTACATTTTACATTACTAGCTTCAAGGACTCTATCAATCCCATCATCATTAGCATCATTATCAACGAAAGTAGAAACGCCAAGAACAGTATCACTCTCACCATCGTAGTATCACTCCATCGTGCCCATAACGTCCTCGTCACAAACCAGATCATCATGAGGAGGTGGAAATAGCTCATCATCAATCTCATAAGTAGACTGACAATGGCGAAGATCACTATTCTCCACATTGCCTGGATACATCAGACCGTCCTCGAAGTTGTGCTTTACACTAACCAAAAGCCATCATCGGCGGTACACCATCCATCGACAGAGAGGTTCTTCGATGATTGCATTATCCGAGAACCCGGGAGCTTGACGCTCTGCGAATAGCCATACCAGTTCAAGAGTCTTGAACTGGAAGATTACGTATGCACAGGTCTTGAATCAAGACCTGTGCATACGTAATCTTCTTCTCAATCAGCAGCTCTTCACATTTACTCTGTAACTCACTATCGTTAATATGTCGTAAAAGTCGCTACAGCAACACCAAATGCTTGGACAATCTGCAAACCAACAGAGCTTGAAGGAGTTGTCGTCGGATTCTCCACCATGTTAACCATTTGGGACCGGGTATTTCTAATACCCCCCATATAACCACACCAACCCAATATATCACCAAAAGTCGCTTTCTTATCGGTGAGCATCTCCTCACACTTCTTGGTAAACTCTCCATCAGTAACATGTCTCAAGAGATAAACGTTCTCTACACCAAAAGCTTCAGCGATTTGTAAACCAACGGGACTTGAGGGAGTTGTCGACGGGTTCTTCACCATGTTAACCATTTTGGAGCTCAAGGCAATGGTTAATGGAATCTAGAGATTCTATCTACAATCGTACTCATAAAATCATCAACTAGCTTCGAGCTAAGCTAAGATTCCATAGTTGTGCATTCTGCACAACTGCAACCAGTGACTGGTTACCACTACTTTTTGCCTCCGTATGGCTTTCGTAGTTGGTCAAGAGATCCAGATGAAGCGCCGGATCGCAGACATCTTCGAGAGCTGTCAGAAGCCGTGCAGGGGGAGGGCCTACTGCTAGTAGGCTACTGGGTGTATGGGGAAGCGTAAGCTCGAATACCCTGAGGGCGAGTTGGGAATTTACACGTTACTCAAAGAGGAAGTGTGCGAGAACCAATGAGAATTTCCGAAACCCCCCTCCAGATTCTGAGGCTCGGAATCTCCTGGTTGTCTTAAACATGCATAAATTACGCAGCGTAATTGGCCATGTGCCTATTTTCCATCGCTAGCATGAGATGCTCGACGCTGTGTCAGGTTGTGCAGTCTCTGAAGAGCGCTGAGATGGCTGATATCGACCATTGCATGACGCGCCTTGATAACGCGTTGGGAATACTATTGCCAGTAAGCTTGGATAAGGTCTTTAATGAGATAGACCTCGACGCAGAGTCCGTCAAAGGGAAAGAAAGCAGCGACCCGGCTGTAGGCGACTCGTGTCCCCACTAGCAGCACTTGGACGCCGGATCGGGACGTTGCTATTAGAAGTGAGCCCTGCAGTCCCATGCAATTGACCTCAGCGTCTTACTGACTCTTAAGTTAATCGACAGCGTTTTCCGTTCAATCTTGCGCGGCCTTTTCGACAACATAAGAATGAACAGGAGAGAACCACGCAGTGTTCGATCATCTCAGATATGACCTGCGTTTGACACGGACCCGTAGATGGCAGACGTGGCTTGACCATCAACGAGACGCTATGACCGAGCTCATCGACTCCCAAGGTTTCCGAGGGAAAAGCTCGTCTGTTGATGTCCCGCTGTCGGGCCCGCAAGGTGAGTATTCCGTGCTTTGCGATGGGAGCTCTCCATGATGTGTCTTTCGTTTATTCAGAGATCTGCTCTAGCCCGGAGTCGTGTCTAGCATGGCTCGAGCATAAGCGTGCCGAACTGGACCGAGTGGTTGGTCGTGCGTTAATCTCAACCTTCAATACTACACACAGATCGGCAGAGGCTACCAGGCGACAGGTACCGGAGTCTGCTGCTAGTGCGAGATCGTACATTCTGCTGGTCATGGAGAAGATGACAGCAGCGAGGAGTCGGATTACGAGGGAGAGTTTGAGGACGAGGATAATCTGACTGCCGACCTGAAACTGTGTCAGCAAGTTTTCTCGGCTTCGCCGTCCATTAAGTTGAACAAACGGCAGCGTACCAAATGATTCTGCTTCAATCGTCTTGTGTAACACAAGACAAGTTGTGTTGTCAATACTTGGATCGGAAGACGTCGAGTCCTCAGGATCTGGCACTGCGCCCGCCCAAGGAGCCGACTCGGGTTTCGTCCGTCTCGGGTCCCTCAAGATGGGGTGGTATGCAGCGTCTCTATGTAGTGCCCGTATATGCCCCCAGCGAGGACAGGGTAGCTGTCAACCTGCAGCGTTGTAGCCCGTGCACGCCTCCGCAAGAAGGCAGGGCAGCTGTCGCTATGAGCCTGTGTGAGCTTGCTGGTGCCTCCGCACGCAGGGAGGGTAGCTGCCGCTATGAAACATTGTATGCCTTTGTGCGCCTCTGCAAGAATACAGAGTAGCTGTCGCTATAATGGCAACGCTATTCAGCATTGCAAACCCGTATCATCCTCTGCAAGACGGGCATACCTTGCTTTGTGACGTGAGCCTGGTATCCCTTTGAAGAGGACACGGCACCTCTCCCCATGAATCTTCGTGAGTTTCCGCATTTCTTTTAGTGAAGATGAGCTAGATACCGCTGAGCCAGGCCCAGTGAGCCTCAAGGGCTAAACACTAAGCGACCTTTTGAGTCTGAAAGGTCGCTCGCCTTGAGAGTTTACGGATGCTGATGCCGATAGGCGGCATCGTGCCTTAGCGACGTCACGGTTGCATTACACTACCAGACGTGCCCATCATCACGACGTGATTCATGTACGGCACGGGTTGCACGGTTGATGTGGAACTCAGACGCTGAGATATCTTGGTTCCATCAACGAGTACTCCAACAAGAGCAGCCCTTAGGAGCTACTCTACGCTGCCCATCGAGACATCCGTAACATACTATTAACAACATCCGTAACATTATGTAACTAATATTGTTATTACGTAACATCACACGCCCACCACCAAGCGCCTGCGTACGGCTCGGACAAGCTATGCACGGCGTGGGTGACACCGTGTGTCATACGGCTCACAAGTTGTGAGTCACAACCGCCAGGTTACCAGCCCTTGTGCGGCATCCGGTCCGGCATAGGGCGGATCCCCGCGTTCTATCTCCACTCGCGCCTCACAGTTCGGCAAGGCTTAGCTATCATATGTGAGTCTCACTCCAGGGTACGCTACGGAGGTTGACCACGTCTCGTAGTAATGTCCCTTCGCCTGCCGGGCAGTGTCCCTGCTAGTCGAGTGGTATATTGTCGAGCGTAGATTTCGTTCTCTGAGAACGAGGTGTCCGCGCCTCGATTGAGCGGAGGGTTCCGTTATCAAAAGCAGTGATCCAGTATATTCATACTGCTCAGTGATGCTGATTCAGCAGAGACTACGCCTGCTGCGATGTTACACCGAATAGTATGCAAAAATTCGGATACTTCCCCAGATCCTCCGAATCCGGTCGGATTCGTGAGTGGCGACGTCAGCATTGGGGCATCCTTGACTTTCCACGTTATGATGAAAGGTGCATGGTATGCATGACCGCGGCGCGGTTACCGCGTGACGTCGACGGTGACACCAAGACATCACGTGATGTCTCCAAGTCACCCGAATCGTATGATAGACTCTATCAGATAGAGCTTCGTTCGTATCAAAAAACTGGTTGCTTCGCTCATGAGCAAGCTGTGGAGGACACGCCGCCTGTTATAGTAGTGCTCGAATTCCCAAGCGAGAATCCCTATTGCTCGGCGAATAGGAGAAATGCTCTGGCCAAGGACCTTTGGGTGTCTGGCTTTAGCTTTGTTGATACCAGAAATGAAAATCTTCTTGTTCTTCGCTGTCGCGATCATAAACGCTGTCATTTGGGAAGGATGCAGCAGCAAGGGTGGGTCGAATACTCGGAGACAGGTCCCCTAGACCTACCATTTTAGGTGGTGGAACCACTACGGCCTCACCTCCTGGGCCTACTTCAACTCGTGGCCCGACCCTCCCTCCGGGACCACCTCCTATTGGCACTTTCTTGCTCGATGGATCTGTGCCAATTCTCGGCCCCGTAACAGGCAGGCTCGTTTCCTCTGATGCTGACCCTGATAATCTTGTTATTACAACAATGTAAGCTCATCTACCTCGCGAAATGTCGCCTTCCTCACTCGCTTGCAGCGTTCTCAATAGCAGGGGTGTCTGCCGTGCCTTCATGGCCTTCGCAAAGTCCAACACTGGTTTTTACTTGATCCTGGGTTTATTCTCAGACTCATGCAGACGAATTCTACGCCTCCAAGTGTACTTTTCAACAACACGTCGCCTGTGCCGTTCCACATGGAAGGAGCTAAGGTTGTTCTGGACGACACTAGCTCCTTTCCACCTGTCGCCCGAGCATCTATGGACAGTAAGCTCCAAAAACACTCGCTCAGGCTCCATCAGTTTCAATGTGATATCACTTTTTCACGAGACCGAGTACATATCACCCATGGAATTGGATTGCTCATTGGGTCATCTTTTGTCAGGTGCCGTTATCACATACCTGCCCCCCGATGATATTCAGATTAACATCACTCAACCAGCTCAATTTTCTGTCACACTACATCGTGCTTCAACTTGAAGGCTTATCCTGAATATCTGAGCGCAGCTTCAGTATGAGCTGTTGCGTTAAAATAAGAGCTAAAAAGTCAACACAGATTGAATACCGATGCCGAGCGAAACCATCGCACACGGCAAGCTGAGGCACTGATGATCACTGAGTGATCCTGAAGGAGCTTCTCGGCCATCGCAACCAAGTTCGACACAGACTCCAGGACAATGTTATTAGAGAACTGGTCAAGTCCAGCGTGGCGGCTAGAAAATGGTTCTTGGGTGTCACCCAATGGGTGAGCATGAGCTCTCGCTTATCCGTAGATCATTGATAGGCATCGCGGCAGTAGTCCTTGACTAGGACAGCGAAGTTCGCCTGGATTTTATTCTCGCCTCTTTCGGATGAGTGATAAATTCATCATCAGGCGAAGTCCTGGGAGCTCATAGGGCACCGGAAGCAAGCAGTCTTTGCTCGGGACCTCAGAGACACTGCTGTACAATGCGTCTCGGAATGGGAGCTCATTTACGGTGGAAAGGACTATGCGGCACCGTTCGAGGTGAATGACACCAAACTACAGCGGCCTGACTTTCCTCTGTTCGACCAGTGTTAACCATTTGGGAACTCAAGGCAGTGTTTAATGGAATCTAGAGATTCTATCTACAATCGCACTCATTAAATAACCACACTCGAAACACATGGGTCTGGAGACAAGCTAGGCTTGTCCATGAACAGTCGAGCAGCCCGACTCGGGCTTGATTCAGGTCGCTTGAAGGCCGCACTCGCAAGATTAATGCTGCTTGGTACCCGTGATACCACTAGGATGTCGCGTCGACATCGAAGATGGGGAAGTGCGGTCTTCAAGCAGCACGGCTCTTGCGCTCGGTGTGGGAGGGATGAGTTGAGCAAAATGACAGCCCCATTTACGCGGCGCTCTGACCTGCAAGCTATTCTTGATGCGTGCATACGAGTTGCAATCTTGCGCGCGTGCGCTGTGTATCGACTGTCCCTTTTCGGCAGCGGAGCGACGTGTGTTCTCGTTTCCGGAATTTCCACGGGATATTCTGTCGGCGATCCAATTTTCACCGGAGGGTATCCACCGAATTACGCAGTCCGTAAGGGCCAGTCTCGCGGGACAGTAGACGATGGAACGTAGCAATGTTGCCAATGTTGGGTTCTTCGAATACATACTCCTGAGAATAGTGACGACGGCTTGCTTGTCCACGTGTATAGAGACTCTGTAGTCCGAAAGTCTACCGAAATGGCGCACTGCCTCTTGCAGGGCTAAACAGACCGCCAGTAGCTGATGAGTCATAGCCTATGACAATATCTTTCGTTTCCGTCTACACCCGCGGATCCTTGGATATTAGGTTCCAGGGTTTAGTGATGGTCTCGTCGATTTGCTTGCGGAACCAAATGGTATGCTGGTGTACGAGCTCCTCCGAGGACTCAGCAACAGTCATTGGTGATAAGCTCAGGGCCTCTAGATGAGATTGAATAACTTATTTTATTTACAATGAAGGCGATAAGAAAAGGGACGAGCTTTGTGGTAGCTACTAGCTACAATGATATGACGAAGGAGACAACGAGATCACAACGTCACAACAGCATCACCCCTCTGATCAAGATCTCCCTGGGTGGGGAATCTCCACTGAGGATCGTAGGTTCTAATACCAGTAAAGGACAAAGTGTGTGCGAGGTACGGCTTGTAGAGCTTATAAAGCTCATGTTATTGAAAATTGCATGTAAAGCCTAACGCTTGAGCGCACCAAATTGAAGACGCTGAGAAACCTGGATTGAGTTCGACGGTCGACCTGTATGGTAGGCTCCGATCCCGGCAGTCGGCTCTGGGAGAGCCTCCGCTGCGGGGGCTCGTCGCTACTACGCGTGTCAAGGCTTGAGCACGATAGGCTGAAGTATTTTGCAGTACTTGCATGAATGATAGGCACACGTCGCAGGTCAACTACCACCAAGCACTGCATGCAATGTGACCAGTATAGAGGTGGAGGTGTAGGAAACGAGCTTTAACTATCTGCCTCATGTCCGGAGCAGCTGGCAGCTCTAATGCAAAAGATGCCGCGCCACAGCATTAGATCACTGGTGCCATACATGCTACGCACTAAAATGTTAGTACTTGTTAATGTTAATCACAGTACGCAACGAACAAGGAGTAATAAACACACGATATGGACCATATCATATGGTGCGCCACAATATGTAGAAAATGCAAGTTCACGTAAGTAAGCAAGATTGAGTTGAACGCACCTTATGTGAAAAACCAGGATGTGAACTGTGAAACAAACTAGCGTAGTGTGGATAGTAAAGAGCCCGCAGTAATTCATGCGAAAATGATTCAAATCGAACTGGTCATAAAACTTTGCATTTTTGCAGCCGTCGTCAGCCATTAGTTGTCGCTTGTCGCGTCTGGGGTTTTGTCGCTC